GTCACTCACACGGCCTACCGCGGTTCAAGTCCCACACGGAGTGGCTTGTTTTCTCTCTGTTTCTCTCTGGTGGGTGCACATGTCCTGTAGCAAATTTTAAAATAATAATAATAATGAATAATTCTTAAAAAGAATTTGAGAAAAAAAATCAAGTTTGTACGCTTATGGTAATGATGTTAAGCAAAAATTATGGGAAGCTGTTGTTTTGACTGAGCACCTGCACTAGGCCCCAACAGTCCAAACCAAATCAAAATGGAAAGTCATTCACGCAAACTGAAACTTAAGGAAGCATACAGATCCCAAGACAGATCAGTTTTTCCTTAAAAATGATTTTAACTTATTTATTTTAATTTTGATGAGAGAAAGTGAAAACGCGATCTATCAGGTCTGGGACTTGAACCACATTTCGCCATGTGATAATCAGCGCCTTTAACCACTCTGCCACCTGCCAGCCTGCCCCCAGAAAAGTTTTTTTTTTTTTTTAAAGATATTTTTGCTATAGGGCGTATGCACTCCCTGGAGAGATAGAGAAACAAAAAGCAAGAAATTACTCATCAGGAGGATGGACCCGCCTTGAAAATCTCACCAGGCATTTTTTTTTTTTTTTTTTTTTGAGAGGTTTTCGCTACAGGGGCGTGTGCTCGCCAGACAGACAGAGAGAGACAGAGAGATACAAAGCGAGGAATCACCGCCCAGAGAGGATGGCCACACCGCAATCCCTTCTCCTCTCGGGATCTTGGGCACACACACACACACACACACACACACACACACGCGCGCGCGCGCGCGCGCGCGCGCCCAGCGTGAGGTTAAGGGTCCCCAGCGTGAGTTTAAGCCGCTGGGTCCGGGACTCGAACCGTGGTCGACTAAGTGGGAGTCCAGCGACATAGCCATTACGCTAACTGCTGGTCCCTCCCGAGGCATTTTTATGCATGCCCAAAATCCCTAGAGGAGAGTGGCCATTCTCCCTGGGGGATGATTTCTCAATTTCTTTCCCGATATCTCTCTGGCGAGTGTACATGTCCTATGGCAAACAATAAAAGAAAACAAAACAAAAACAAAACAGGAGATTCCAGTCTGCCTAAATCACTGTAATAAGGAAATCCCTTCTGCTTTAACTTACCAAAATGTAAGCGTTTGAAGCAACCGGATATAACCAATCAGCTTTCCCCCTCCCCACGATTCTGGTTTCTCCTTTCCACCTTAGTAAATCCACTGCTGTGCTATTGCCCAATGAGAGCCGGCCTTCTTTTTGAGTGGAGGCTGCCTCATTCATGAATCACAAATGAAACCCATTTTAATCTGTAACTAAATTTGCCCTATTAAACGGTGTGGAACTCTTAGAAGAGGTGCTACAGGAATAAGGCTTCTGTATTGCATAAATAGCACCAAGAAACTGTGGGTGGCGCGGTGGGTGAAAAGCAAGCCGGGGGACAGGATAAAGTGAGCTGCAGTACAAGTCCCTTCAGTTCACTTGCATATACATGGGCCTTTAGGGCAGTCCACGGAATTCCAAACACTGCTGGATTGGAAACAGAGTCCACGATGTCCAAAATAACTACCTGTCCCCAACAGTGCCCTCTTATTTAATCCACGTCACCTAAGACTCTTGTCCCATCCTCACAGGGTTGCCCTAGCCCCTTTCTGAAACCTCTGATTCAATGGTTCAAATTTTGGTTTGGTTTAAAATTTTTAAAAATCTCTGGCACAAAAGCAACAGCAGCGACCGGAGAGTCAGGACTGAGGGAAACCCCGAGACAGCCGCGAGGAGACCGCCGCACCAGC